GGCCTGAAAAAGTATATATATTCCTGTTCATCGTAAATTTCTAAGACGATTTAAGCAATCCGTCCGTCTGTTGTAATCACGGTAGAGTCAAAACGAATTAGGATAGGAAGCTAACATGTTGCACCTATTAGTCTTTTGTCTGCAGCCAGGTCAAGTTCGAAGATAGGCTATATCGGTCCATAATATCGTGTAGCCCACATACAACGATACCCCCGATATTCGGCATTTTGATTATTTTAGGGACATTTTTTCCGGAATAGTTTAAAATTTCGTACTTGAAGCTCATAATGGTTACTTCATATAGCCCACATATAATGGCACATCTCTTCAGTCGGTATTTGATGATAATAGCGACATTTTTTACCGGAATTGTTTCAAATTTCGTATCTAAAGTTTCTTTGAGCTGTATTTTATGACGGAATTTTTTGGAAATTTTTCAAATTCTTTGAAAATGGTTAGCTCCACTTTTATAATCTGTTGATTTCCCCCGTAATTATTTTTGTGTTGCACAGTTTTTGTGTTGGTACTTTGATGATGTTCAATTGAAGCAGTACATTTTACGTCTTAACAATGTCTTCTGCAAGGCTTCTTGGAAGTGGGTAAAGAATCATTCGTTGAAATATTTAACAAGTAAAAAAGCTGTAAGTTCGGACGGGATGAACATTGAAATTTTGAATGTGGCAATTTTGAAAAAAACCGTTAAAAATTCTGTTGAAATCTTAAAAATATCCAATGTAGCCGTCATATTAGGGTCTAAACGACGACGTGGACCCACATAGGCAATTTTTGTCATAAGCCATTAAAATATTCAAATGCGAAACTTGAAAAACAAAATTCGGTGCATAATGTAGCTAAAATCATTAATATAGGGAGGTACTCTTACATGGGGGCTATACCATAATGTGGACCTGCACAGACAATTTTCTGCCTTAGGCTGCATTACGAACTTCAAATACCAAATTTAAAACAATCCTGATGAATAATGTCGCTAAAATCATTAAAATACGGAATATAGGAAGCTACCGTTATGTGGAGACTATACGAAGACGTGGACCTTCGCAGACTATCTTCTGTCATAGACTATAGTATCCATTATGAACTTCAAATACCAAATTTGAAACAATTCCGGTGAATAATGTAGCCAAAACCATCAAAATACCGAATATTGGGAGGTACCGTTATGTGTGGGCTATATGAAGACGTAGACCTACACAGATAATTTTCTGTCTTAGGCTGTAGTAACATTTACGAGCTTTAAATACCAAATTTGAAAAAATTCTGGTGAATAATGTACCTAAAACCATCAAAATATCGGGAGGGTTATATGGGGGCTATACTAAGACGTGGACCTGCACAAACAATTTTCTGTCTTATCGAACTTCAAATACCAAATTTGAAACAATTGCGATTAATAATGTCGCTAAAATCATCAAAATTCCGAAAATATGGAGTTTCCGTTATATGGGGACTATACCAAAACGTGGGCCTATATGGCCCATTTTTAATACTAAAAGTCAATCTACTTAATTCCGTTCGGAAGCTAGAGTGATTTCCACAGACGGACATACGGATAAAAGGACAGACGGACGAACTTCGCTAAATCGACATAGAATTTCATGCTGATGAAGAACATATATACTTTGTGGGGTCTAAAACGTATATTTCGAGGTGTTACAAACGGAATGTCAAACTTAATATACCCTCCATACTATGGTGGAGGGTATAAAAAAGTTGATGCTACAGAAAAGCGATTCCTATAAAATCAATTTTTCGACATAAATACGTAACTTTTTGTTGTAATTTTTCATGCCATCATCCACACCAACTATGCCTGATGAGCCGCCTCAACAACGGCGAAACGCTTCGCATAGTGGTGAGTGTGTGATAGTGTCTATCAGGCTTTACTTTTCACTGAAAATTTCAGATCGAAAGAGAAACAAAACACAATTTTATTTTGTTGGGTGTTATGAATTCGTGCTTCAGGGAAATGCAAAATTTAAGATTGTCAAAATAAATAGTGGAAGTATTATATGTTAGAATTTTTCACATCTCTATCGCAACAATCCGTTAAAGCCCAAAAAGGCCTTGATGTTCCTATTTTATTGAAATTGTGCAAATTTATTGTTTTTGGAAAAGAAAAAGTAGAACAATAAACAAATTAACACGGAATTCTAATGACTTTGCAAGGTCTTCAATAAATATGATATAACGGTAATGCTGTTAAGTTGAATGAGGAATTATCAGTCATACTATTTAATACATACATATGTTGCCCATTCATGTTTGAGTACCAAATTTTAAAATGAAAATGGAAATTCTCTTGAAATCAATGTCACATCAACTTTTTCTAAATAAACATCCCGTCTTCATCCGAACCAGCGAACTGAAATCATTTCAAATTTGATGCCAAGCTATTAAAAAAAGACATTTTCATTTCGAAAACACTTGTTTTCATCAGAATCAGCTGTATCATCATCACGTTATTTTCTACATTCACACACACACACACACCCATCTCTGGCATTGTCCCCTGCATCTTCCACATGTCAAGACGTATTGGAATCATGCCAATTGGGATGGTAATGGGTGGGTTGGCTGCAGACAAATGTAGATATTTTCTATTTTATGAAAATGCAATGACGATTTGCCATCTGAGAACGTGAACGTTGTCCCATATGGCGTTGTATCTACGGACAGAGGGAGATACGTTTCAATGGTCAGGAACATCGCGCAATCAGTCTGTTTACTTTTGACGTCAACATAAAATGATGTATGAACATGTTGTTCCTACGTATTTTTTTTGAAGAGATGATGATGCTCTTCTCACATAATCTATATGTTGGGATGGGCGTACAAGTTCAGTTGTGTATCCCAATTGCTACGTAGAAATTTAATTGTCTCCCATTTTTAAAACGGAGGAATCGGTGTTCTAGAACAAGTGAGTGGTGGCAGGGACATTGCTAATTTGTCGATAATTGGTATTAGAGGCAAAACAAATGTGTATTACAGTGGAAACTTGGCAATGAGTTCATGAACTTATTTTACTGACATATCAACAATCTATTATAGACAATTAATAAAATATTTTATTTTTTAGTTTTTCATCTCTACCACAAATAAATAAAAATTATTATTTTTATATCCTACACCACTATGTGGATCGTGATATTGTGTCTTTGTACATTTGTTTGTAACACTTTAAAAGAAAAAGAGATCTATAGTTTATTTCGGGGATCAACATAAAACCAAAACAAATAACATTATTTTCCTATTGAGGCAACACTATGCACAGTTCATTTGTTTGGCCATATATATTATCTTTCGATTTCAAGTTTATTTTATACCAAACCTAGGAGCAATTTTATGAAGTTTTGCAACCATTTTCATCTCTAAGCTGTTATTTCCGGCAGCTGTTAAAATTATTCCAGTGACAGCTCATTATATTGTTTGCAAGCGTGCAAGAGCATTTTGGTGAGAATTTTCCAGAAAAGAAATGATTCGTGATGGAATTCAAGCGTGGTAATGTGATCTCTTTTTATTTGGTTAGAAACCACAAGTGGATATCGTTAGAACACTCCAGCATTTAAATGTGAATAAATCTCTTGTGTATGGTACCATCGCTCGTTACCGTGATACTAGCTGCGTAGCCCAACTTCAAGGAAGTGGACGGCAGAAAACAGCAACATAAGCTCGAGTAAAGCCATTGAAATTACCAAAAGTACAAGCATTTACACCGCTACAGAAAGAAAATAGACTCAAAAGAGCTAAAGAGTTGCTTCGCTTGGCCGAAAGTGGTGAACTGTCGAATTTGGTTTTCTCCAATAAAAAAACATTCGTTGCCCAGCAGTTTGTAAACAAACAAAATGATCGTGGTTACTTGCCAAAGAGGTCAGCTGAAATTGTGCACCTTCGGTTGGCCACCAGAACTCAAGCGCCGGCCATGGTGATGGTGTGGGCCGCCATAACAGTCGATGGTCGCTCTCCGCTCGTATTAATCGGCCGTGGCATCAGAATAAATGCCGAATATTATCGAGAAAATATTCTGGAGGGTGTATTAAAGCCTTGGGCACGCAAACATTTTGGCCGCAGACCTTGGACATTCCAACAGGACTCAGCATCATCACACTCAGCATGCGTCACCCAAGAATGGTTACAACATTAGGTTCCTCGCTTCATTTCCAGCGCACAATGGCCACCAAAATCTCTGGATACCAAACCATTGGACTATTGTGTCTGGAGTATTTTAGAAAGCAAGGCTGGCACTAAAAAATACCAAAGTGTCGAATGTGCCAAAATGCCGCAGAGCAACATTTGGGGAGCGTGTGACGGTTCCATTGGCCATTTAAAGCCCATAATTCGAGCCAAAGGTGACCAATTCGAACAAATCTAAACTTATTCTAAAATTTGATGCTATTTCTGACATTTTTTGCTTTCATTCAATAAAATTTAAAAAAAATGTAAATATTATGGCGTTTGTCTTTTTTGACAGTTTTTTAATCACACCCTGTATATGCCAAAAAAAAACAAATTATTTTACAAAATATCAATTTTCTTTGGACGCTTCCTGTTACTGTTCGAGATGCTACACCATCTAAAGACTCATCAGCCCCTGTTCGCATTATCTGAGACATTGTCTTCAACGCACTATGGGCTGCGAATATATAAAAATATGTCCCATTCTTGTCTAATAACACGTACGGATTTCGAACCATAACTGAGTTTTATTTCCTTATATTCATTGGTTTTATACAGGTACATGACGTTTCCGTCATTTATATCATTTTGAAAGCCAAAGCCCGTGCATAGAAGTGACTCAACTTTAATCAAATGAAGGGATATTAAATACATTTCATTTGATCGTAATAAACAGATTATGTAAATTGTTGCTTTTAACAAAAATTCATATTTAACTATCGAACAGCAGAATTGGGAGGAAATATGAAAATCTTCATTAGTCGCGCATATTAGCTCAGCTCAGCTGGTAGCTACGCTCGAAAACAATGACTCTACTGAAATTGTGGCAATTTTTGGCATTTGGAATTCTCGCAGCTAACTTTGCTATGGTAAGTGACATTTTCGAATAAATTCCAAAATAAACTAAAAATTCTATTTGTTTAAGGCTGCCTTTAGGTTAACCAATTTACGCTGCACATCTAAAAATGAAAGTTTGGGCATTTTTAAAATATGTTCCCTGAAAGCTGTCAAACGGGATGTTGTCGAAATCAATGTTGATTTTGAGCTGCGCAGGAAACCAGTAAAGGAAGCAGATGTGAGGATTAACTTTTCCTTTTGTGAATATGTTTCCAAACTTTTTTTAAATTCTAGTTCTTGCTTCGCTTCAAGAAACGTGGTGAACTTGGCAGAAAAGCTCTCTATAATTACAATATTGACTTCTGCGAATTTCTTGGTAGTAATAGGCGAAAGCCCTTGGCAAACTTGTTCTACAATATTTTCGAGCTGCAAACTTGTTCTAATTTGAATCACACCTGTCCTTATAATGTAAATATAGTTGTTGAGTTCCAAAAATGAGTGTCGCAATGACGTCTCCTTATGTTACTTTTAATATTTCAGCACAATATACTCATTAAAGGGTGTCGCATAAATTCCGGATTGTTACAGGCCCTACCCATACCTTCCGGCGAATATTCAATTTGGACAAGCTGGATAATTTTTGGTCGACCAACTGCTGAGGTAGAAGTTCTATTAAAGTTTGAATGAAGTTTAAATCAATAAAAGATTTGGTAAATAAATTAGAAATTGGTTTGATGCGTTTTTGATGACATTTGGCCATGACTAACTGACAACAGAGGATAAACCGATGTTGGAAGGACGTCACCAAGATAGTTAAAGAAGTGAGTGAAAGAATTTCAAAGGGCTGTACCATCTTAGAACTGACCTCGGATTAATTCCCATTAGGGTGAAATTGTAACGAGTTTTCTCGGACGGACCAATATTTAAGTACCCTCCACCAATTGAAAGGAATTTGAAAATTTCAAAAAATTTCCTTCGGAAAATACCGCCTAAATGAAATTGTTATATGACAGCTATGAAGACATGGACATGTGTAGGCAATTCTCTGCCATAGGCTGCTGTACTTATTACAAACGTCAAATACGAAATTTGAAGCCAGTGATTAATGTCGCTGAAATCATCAAAATACCGAATATCGGGAGGTATCGTTATATGGAGGCTATACCAAAAGGTATACCTACATAGCCCATTTTCAATACTAAAAGTCAAGTCAAGCTTAAGGCTTATGTTCATAAGCTTATTGTAATATTATTCTCCAGCCATTTTGGTATGTTGGGTTATTACTGCGCATTTTAATCCATACAACATAGACAATTTAAATAATTCAATAATTAGTTATTTAAAATATTTTAAAATTTCCTTTTTTTGGTTAAGCGAATTAAATTAGTTAGGCGAATCCTTAATTTTTTGAGTTCCAGAAGTCGACATCATAAAAAATTGCAGAATTATAATTATTTTTATACCCTGTATCATATGGCTAGAGAGGATATATATCATTTGATATAGCCAAAACTTGCCACATCGAAATAACGGTTTTGGACACTAGGTTTTGAACCAAAACCATTTCAGGACATTTAGAGTCGATCTAGCATGTAGCGTATAACATAAAACAAATGTGGCAGGTAGTATTCAGGATTCTCATTTTTTAGGAGTGCACGTTTGGAACCGGCCTTATAGCTCGTCGGAGGGGGGGTTCGCTAACCTTGGACAATCCCATTGCCACTGAGCTACTATTTAAATATAAAAAAAATTACGTGCATTTTTCTTTGGGTGTACAAAAAAGGATCTAGCACTATAGGAGGAAACGGAAACAGCTTAGTAGAGCAAGAGCTCTGTAAGAAAAAAAGTTAACAGACTAGTAACAGAAAGGTATTTTAAATTTGGAGAAAATCGAAACATGTTGAAATAGAGGAGAAGTAAAGAGACCAAATGACGCGAGCAACATGATGTTTTGTTGCTCAAAAGAGCCCACCCAACCGTGACTGCAACATGATGTATCCAAGGAAAGTGTAAAGTGTTGTTGCAGCCCCTGTAACGTCCAAAGCAACCTTTTCCTACTTTAAAGAGAACTCAAACGGATTTGATTTAATTTATTCTGAGTTCATTTTCTTCTCTTTATTTAACAAATCAAAGATTAACATTGGATTCCAATATTATTGCTAATTTTTATTTCATTAAATAATATTATTCTATAATATTTCAAAGAACTCAATGTGGGAAAACAACTTTAGTGAATAGAATAATTTCAACATCATTAAAATAACCTTATAGAGTTTCAACGATATTCTCTTATTTGAAAGAAGAGAAAAAAATAATAAAAAAAACGATATTTTTAAGGGGAAAAATATAACTAAACTATAAATAAAGATATATATATAAAAAAAATTTAGAATTAATTTTTTTATAAATAATATTAAATTTAAATTCAATTATAATTTCAGGTAAGTACCCACAATAATCAAAAGAAAAAGGAAATTATAAAGATTTGCATATTTAAATTTTTTTTCTTTCAGAAATAACCAACTTTTTGGTCATCTGCGTATGTTGGGTAACCAAACGATGTCAAATTATCACAAGGCAGTTGTGAGTTCTAAATAGGGTGACCATATAGTTCATCAAAAATTATCAATAATTTTTAAAAAAAGTCTATTATTAGGATCTTATCGTGCAAAACTAATGTCTTTCGGCATCAGAATTCTAAATATTTTAATTTGAACTGATTTCAATACTCAACTACTGAACAATTTTGATTAAAATTATAGTTTAAATATTGTAACAAATCATATGTGTACCTGGTCACTCTCCCCTATTCTCATTATACATTAATATCAACAAAGGCAAATAAAAGAGTGCATTGACTTACTTTGATTCTCCTTGTGTTTCTCCTTCGTAGAAAGCGCTTTCGACGTCGGCAGTGTAGTGTTGTTGTTAGCATGAATGGAGTGTAGGCAGAGAATGTGAGAGATGTTGAACGGGAGACTTTAACATTTTGCACATGATGAACACAATGTTATTACTTATGTTAGTTAACATTTGCAAGAAGGAACATCACTTAACAGAATAAAACAGCAGTAGGTTTTCAACTAAGTTAAATCGTGACATTAATGATCATTTAAGGTCATAAAAATTCCAAACAAATTATATGTATGCTCATGTGTATATTAAGTGATGTTTCTTCTGCAAAAACCAACGGGGATCAAAAATTGTTCATTTAAAAGCAAAAACTTATGTATATTTTTTTCACTTTTTCAATTATTCCTTATGAACACTTGTTTATATGTCTCTTTCTTGATCTTTTTTTCCTTTTTCTTAGAGAGAAAATTATAATTTAGGAGAAAAATAAAATCCTTAAATATAAATTACACTAGAATATTACGATTTTAATTATTTCCAAATTACTATTGGTGATTTTTCCCTTATTATCACTTTGACCGAAATATCGAGTGAAAAAATTAGTTTTTAAACCGAAGTAGCGACTCTTGTGGTTAACTCACGTTGAAATGAACCTTCTGGCACTATATTTGGAGGCTTATTTTATACAGAACAGACTATTAGGGGTAAAATAATTTTTACTTTTGTCGTTCGTGCAAAATTCACTTGATGAAGGAGTCTTTGCGACGGTCGGAAAACGGCGTTACATTAATTAGATGATGCGTTCGTTGAGATGACAAAGAGGAACTGAATTTGCATATTCATGAGGTGTGTGAGCTCAGTGTGACAGTGGGAGAATAGCTTTTAAGCGGATAATCTCACTTAACCTCTATTCTCTAGCCTGTATAAATGATGAGGAATTCAGCCAGTAAATCTATAGGAGCGAACAATAATTAAATGAGAAACATGTAAAACTGTATGCAAGATGAAGAAAAAATTACCTTTTGAACAAAAGTTAAGAATGTTGAATAATAAAATTGGAATAAAAGCTAAAGCGGTTGAATACGGTCCAAAAGGTCAATTCTTCAGGAATAATTTGGCCAAAAAAATCCAAAAAAAATGTGGCACTTAACCTAAGATGAAAACATTTACTTTCCTTAATTCACCAATTGAGGCAATAGGAATCAGGCTTGTGTACTTACAATGCACGCAAAGATAAAACGCAAACGTTAAGTGAAGGAAAATTTTGTTACCTTTCTTTCTTTTTTTTTAAAGAACTATTTTTAGATTAAAAAAATCACTTTCTCTTAACAATTCTTCTGAAGTTTACTATAGGAGTTTCACTTAACCAAATGGACGAGTTTCCTTCTAAGATTTTAGAAGAAACCTTGGCATTGCTTTAAGCTAACGTTTCTATTCCAAAACTATCGTTAAAAGTATAAAAAATAAACAAAGGTAGAACGTCAATTAGCTGATAGATCATTTGCACAAATTCAAACAAGTGGAAGGCAGAGGTCGCTTTGTTAAGCCGTTACAATTCGAATGCAAACAAATTAAAAAGAAAGAAGTTATATGAAACAAAATGCTGCCAGGAATGCAAGCGCCACTACAATTCCCCCCAGCCAAAATCAGCATTGGGGTAAGAGGTTTTACATCCAAAGCTGATCCCGCTTGCATCCAAGATACCTACTGTCGAATGTCTTTTGCGTGGTATATGCCCACAAGATTTCCCTGCAAGTCTTCCAACTCGTAATTGGAATTGCCAAGCTTTCGACGCACTCGAGACTTGAGGAAAGTCGGCGCTAACTTTGCACTGTAGCCTTGAGAAAAGTTGCTTTGCTTGAAATTTCGCCTGTAAACCTCCTGACCAATATCATAGGACACCTCTTTGCTTCGAAGATTATAAGATCGCTGGTTTCTTTCAAATTGTTTTTGCATTGTATCCCTAGCTTTATTTCCGGCTACGGCAAGAGAATCCTCCTTGCTGAACCTAACAGTTCTATCCTCTAGCATATTTAGTTGACGTAAAAGCGAATACGCTGACCCGTTTGTTACCATGTGTTGGCCAAATACTAGGTAGTACGGTGTAGTCCCGATAGAAGAATGGAACGACGACCTAAATGCACAACAAATTTTACTAAGCATTTGATCCCAATCCTTTTGGCTAGGTGAGACATAAGATTTGATTGCTGCAAGTACTGAACGATTAACTCGTTCAGAGGCATTTACTTGTGGTGCATGAACTGCAGTAAACATGTGGTGCACTTTATAACGCTGAAGGAATTTGCTGAATTGGTTTGATCTAAATTGGGAACCGTTGTCTGACACTATAGTTTCGGGAACACCATATGTATAAAACAATTCATTTTCTAAGTAATCGATAACTATATCAGAGGAAAACCTTTTAACTGGTTTTAAAAATGGAAACTTAGTCATATGATCCACAACCACTAATATTCCTATGTTTCCTTGCTTAGATCTTGGGTAGGGTCCCAAAAAATCTATGTATATTTTCTGAAAGAACCTATGGGTTTCAGCTGTCTGTCCCATTGGTGGTCGTAAAGGTTGGCTGGGATGCTTGGTGGACTTACAAATTTCGCATCCATTTACATAGTTTTTAACATCCACCACCATGTTTGGCCAAAAGAAGAATTTCCTCAATGTGAATAATGTTTTATTTATTCCTCCATGAGCTGATAATGGGTCATCATGGGCCCTTTTTAAAACCTCGGGAACCATTTCCTGTGGTATCCATAATTTCCATGCGAGATCATCCTGGACTTGTTCCCCCGTTGCGTGTTCCGTACGCCGATAAA